TATGTTGCCTCCCTCGTAAAATATTGAAGTTTGGAGCTTGTGGATTACCTTTGGTCCTTGACCAAAAGGATTTTGGTAAGTAATTACTTACATGGTTGTATGATTGATTGGATAACTAATTTAGTTATCATGTGGCACTTGGTAATTGTTGAGATGACCAATAGTTGTAGGTATTTTTTGTGCAAGTTGAAGCTTGAGGTAACTTGTGGTTGAAGCTACCTATCTTGAGAGCTTCAAACAGGTAATCCCTTGGTACTGGGGTTAATCCCCATGTGTGCTCCACCATGCCCAATGGAGTAATGGTTGGAAGTTTATACCTATATCTCTGGCCAATAGATAGATTATTGTATTTGCCGTAGGGGACTTCTACTAGAGAAGCCTCCTTAGAGAGTTCCAGTTGGACAAGGGCCATAGAGTCGTTATCCGTTGAGGAGCACTCTAGGAATGTCTCGGGAGTTATAGTTGTGGTACTTTGAATTATATCACAAGGATATATTCTTGGATGTGTACCCGATTGAGATTGTCGTATGCCGTATGCCGCAGGCTGTTGTGCCGTGTTGATTTGCATCTTTTATTTATACCTATATTATTGTCATTGTACATCTGAGTGAGCCATGACACAGATCTGGATCCTTTCATGTGAAAAAAATAGAGTAAATATCTTTTTTGGTTCTTAGCAAATTTTACGATACCCGTTTTAGTCCCTAGCAAATAAAAAGGCCCATCGTAGTCCCTAAAAAATTCAAAATGGACCCATTTTAGTCCTTTTGAGGACTAATACGGGTCATTTTTGAATTTGTGAGGGACCACGATTTCAACTGAATGGGTCCATTTTGAATTTCTTAGGGACCATGATGAGCCTTTTTATTTGCTAGGGACTAAAGTGGACATCATCAAATTTGCTGAGGACTAAAAATGGTATTTACTCAAAAAAATATGATATGGTCATATGGAGAATTATAAATATACAAAGGTGGATCAACGATGGCTCAATGATAATAAAAAAGAGAAAAAATATATTAAAATAGATTACAAAATTATAACCAAAAGAATTCATTCGCGTTACAGAGTGATGAAATATACGAGTGACCTGCAGCTGCAAATAAATGAAAATACGGCATAAATATGAAGCAAATGAGAGAAATTATATTTAATAAGCAAGCTATAAATCTAACCTTGAAAGACATCTAATTATAACACATGAGTTACAATTTTTATTGTTTAATTTGTTGTTATCCTTTAAAATCAAAGATCTTGTATACATATATTTTAAGGGAAATGTTATATTTACAATTTTTTTGCTTACAAACTCTTACAAATTACACTAAGTATGACCGGTCATACTTCAATCAAGAGTGTATGACCGAAAAAAAATTGTAAACGGATCCTTTCCCAGATTTTAATATTATGAAACCTAAAAAAAATTAAACTTAATTATATGAATTTTCAATTAATAAGAATGGATAAGCTATAGATATTTGGACATAAATTTTAATTCCACCAAAGTAAACAACAAACCAAAATTAAAAATTAAAAATTAAGGTAAATATTTACCATAATTCTTATATCACTTATATATATAGAGAGAGGAAATTAAAATAGGTGAAATGGTAGATGCGGAATTAAATAGAGCTATTGGAAGTTTCAACATATATAACGAAAATGGTAGATGGAGAATTAAATAGAACATTTGAAAGTTTCATCTGGACGATGGACATGCAATGTCTTTAAGGTGGTGTTTGGTTGGGGAGAAGTAAAAATTTTGATGGGTAAGTGTATGTGGGTATCTGTCTTCACCACGTTTGGTTGGGGATTTTCAGTAGATTTTCCCATCTAACTCACTTGGCTAGGAAAGGAGAAAGAGGACCAAAAACTGGAGAAATGCACTGTTCAGAAACCGTTTGAAGATGTGGAATTGTTGTTCAAAATCAGATAAATGAAAAAGGTGATGAAATGTTGGTCAAGTTTACCCCTGCTTCAGTTTACTGCGTAAGAAAAAAAAAAGGTTTTGGAGGGCATTTACTGCGTTTGGAGCTACTCAAGGTATTTTATTTCTACTTTCATTTTGATTTGAGAAAATACTGAGTTTCAATTCTTGTAGGTTTTTCACTTTCCGTGTAGATTTGTTAATCTTGAATGCTGGTTTGTGCGAGTGAAATGGGAGTGGTAGAGAATGAGAACGAAGAACCCAATATGAAGAGAGCAAAACAGGGTGATTCTGTAAATTTCATTCTGTTTTGTTAATCTTAAATTTCATTCTATAAACCCAATATGCTGGTTTGTGCGATGGAAAACCTTGCTGGTTTTTTCGAGGATATTTTTGTAAATTTCATTAAATTTTCTCATCAATATTTTATCTTCAACCAAACACACATTCAGAAATTTAATTCAATTTTCCTGGTAAAATTTTGCCCAACCAAACAACTTTTTTACAACTTTCCTATCTAACTCACTTTTCCTCCACATCCCTAGTATTTACATTTCCCTAGTATTAAAAAATTTCTCCCCAACCAAACACTACCTAAGGGGAAAGAGGTTTATCTTGTTACCCTATACAAATAAGAATTACTGATATGGTGGATCTGGACTGAACTTCACTGATTCCTTTCATATGAGTCCTTGATGTGCTCTTCGGTGCATGTTGGCTGATCAAAATCAAAACTGAAAATCTAGATCTTCTCATGTGAAAAAATATATGATATGAAGATGGATAAATGATAATAAAAAGAAAAAGAAAAAATATTAAAATAGATAGTTACAAAATTATAGCCATAAGAACTCATTCGTATTACAGAGTGATGAAAGATAAGGAAGACATAGTGCTTATGCAGTGCAAGTAAATGAAAATACTACATAAATATAATGAGAGAAATTATATTTAATAAGCAAGCTATAAATCTAACCTTGGAAGACATCTAATTATAACACGAGTTACAATATTTATTGTTTAATTTTTTGTTAACCTTTAAAATCAAAGATCTTGCATACACATATTTTAATATTATGAAACTTAAAACAAATTAAACTTAATTATATGAACTTTCAATTACTAAGAATGGATAAGCTCTAAATATTTGGACATAATTTATAATTCCATCAAAGTAAACAAAAAACCGAAAAAAAAATCGAAAAATGAAAAATTAAGGTAAATATTTACCGTAATTCTTATATCCATAGTTATTAAAACCGGACCGACCCGGCCGAGTCGACCCAGGAACCGGTTTGGTAAACCGGTTATATAACCGGTCCGATTGAAGCAACGAACCGGACATGCATGGGACCCGGTCCGATCCGGTCTGACCTGACAAGTTTTCATAAAAAACCGGTGACCCGGCCCTAGGGGTGTTAACGGGCCGAGCCGAGCCGAGCTTTGATCTTAACGGGCCAAACCTGTATTTAAACGTGTCCGACTGGCCTTAGCTTGTTACCTGTTACGAATATAATATTGGACTATGGCCTGGGTTATTTACAAAAAAATAAAAGCCTATGTGAAGCCTGTCTTAACCTGTTAGCATGTTAAAGAATAAAAATAATAGAACAGAATTCCACGAAAAATCAATTTCCAGATAGAAACCTTAGCTTCCAATTTGCAGCAATAATTTACAAAGTCTACAATAAACAAAAAAAATTAAAGTGAGAGAAGGTAGATAACAGGTTATATTATCTTAGCCCATTATAAAAAAAGTGCCAACAAAAATAAAAATAAAATAAAATAAATAAAAAATAAATTGATATAAACGAGCAGTGCACAGTGGAACAAATGAGTTTTTGTGGGTTTGTTTGTGTGAAGGAGGATGAAGGATAATATAGAACAACACTAGTAATTCCATAAATATACATAAATTAAATATATATCCAAATAGCATAATATAGAACAAAATCATTCAAAAAGTCTGTTAAACCAATAAAATGGGGTGAAATAAATTGATGAGAGAGAGTTATTTTAAGTAGTATAAAAAGTATAAATAAATATTTATATACTAGGCTAGCCTGGGAGGCTCTAAGACCGAGCTTCTGAATTAGAGCCTGAGACCTTTTTATTAAATGAGCTTTTATACAAATCCAAGCCTGGTTCCAACACGAGCTTTTATTAAACGAGCTCAGGCCTTTACGAGCCGAGCCAAAGGCCCCTGGTTCGTTTACCACCCCTACCCGGCCCGATCCAAAAAAAATTTGAAATTTTTTTTTCTCAAAAAAATTATAATGGACATATTTGAATATTTTTTTGTTTATTGACTTACATAAGTTATGTACATACAACACTAATATTATCTCAATTATGTACTATGTAGAAAATTTTGAATTAGTTTATAGTTAGACATGTACCTTTCTGAACCTAAAGTCCCGTATCGCGATCATTATATTTTTGTTTGATTATTTATTGGATAATAATATGTGATTTATTAATTTTTATATAAAAATATTTGAAATTTTTATCATTTTTTTTAGATATTTGAGTATGATTATAATTTTTTAATATAAATTATAAAATTACATATAATTACCGGGTCATGCGATTGAACCAGTGACCCACTAGTTGAACCAGTGACCCAATATCTCGACCGGGTCAATGACCGGGTCGGTTTTAATAACATTGCTTATATCACTTATATATATATAGAGAGAGAGGGGAAATTAAAATAGGTAAAAAAATGGTAGATGTGAAATTAAATAGATCTGTTGGAAGTTTCAACATATATAATGGAAATGGTAGATGGAGAATTAAATAGAACATTTGGAAGTTAATTGCAACTTCATATAAGCCATTAGATCTAATCTTTAATTTTTATTTTTTCCAACGATTAACTTTGTAACTTTTATTTTCCTTTAAATTTTATTTTAATTAGATTTCGTAACTGTCACATCAAATGAAGCATCAACGAAAGTCAGGTTGGGTTACAGAAAGTCAATCCACTACTATTACTATCGTATCCTATTGAGAGCATCTCATATCGATCCTTGTTTGTGCTCAATATTCTTTCCATCCTTCTTTCGTCTACTATTACTACCTCAATATTCTTCCATCTCAGGTTGGTTGGGTTACAGAAAGTCATGGCGGCAGAGCCAACCGCTGGGGCATTTCTTTCGTCTTTCTTTCAATTTACTTTCGAGAGGTTAGCCTCTCGTGATTTCCTCCGTGGAAGCAAACATGGTGGGGTGCTGAAGAAACTCGAGATCACAGTAAATTCTATCAACCAAGTGCTGGATGATGCAGAGAAAAAGCAGTACCAAAACCCACGGGTGAAGATGTGGCTTGATGAACTTAAACATGTTGCTTATGAGACAGACCAACTGTTAGATGAGATTGCTACTGATGCTACGCTGAAGAAGCTCAAGGCTAAATCTCACCCAGCTACCAGCAAGGTACGAGGCTTCTTTTCAGCCTTTACTAGTAATCCATTTGAATCCAGGATCAAAGAGTTGCTAGAGAACTTTGAATTTCTTGCAAAGCAAAAAGAAACGCTAGGGTTGAGAGAAGTCACTTTTGCTAGCAATGAAGGTGACTTTCGTGGGAATCTCTCAAAAAGACTGCCCACCACATCTTTGTTGGATCTTTCTAACAGCATAGATGGTAGAGATGGCGAAAAGGAGCAAGTAATCAATTTTTTACTTTCAGACCATGTCAGTGGCAATCAAGTTCCCGTGATTAGCATATTGGGTATCGGTGGAATGGGTAAGACCACCCTTGCTCAGCTTGTGTACAATGACCAAAGGTTGCAGGAGCAGTTTGAACTCAAAGCTTGGGTCTATGTTTCAGAACATTTTGATGCTTTTGGAGTTACAAAGGCAATTCTGAAGTCATTTCAACTTTCAGCAAATGCTGAAGACTTGAATTCACTCCAACTAGAATTGCAAAATAAACTAATGGGCAAGAAGTATTTTCTTGTTCTTGACGATGTCTGGAACGAGGATTGGGCAAGTTGGGAGGTCCTAAAAGTTCCCCTTAATTATGGATCATCCGGAAGTCGGATTCTTACCACAACATGTGATAAGAAGGTAGCAACAGTCTTGAAATCCACCCACCTGCTTCCTTTAAAGGAATTGGGGGAAAATGATTGTTGGAGTTTATTCGTGAGACATGCTTTTCAGGATAAGGATGTAAATGAATATCCAAATCTTGAATCAATTGGCAGGAAAATTGTACAGAAGTGTGGAGGGTTGCCTTTAGCTGTAAAAGCATTGGGGAATCTACTGCAAATAAGATTCTCTAAACGTGAATGGGTTAAGATATTGGAGACTGATATGTGGCATTTTTCAGTTGACAATGACATCAACCTGGCACTGAGGTTGAGTTATCATATTCTTCCTTCCAATCTAAAGCGTTGTTTTGCTTATTGTTCCATGTTTCCCAAAGGTTATGAGTTTGAAAAGGATGAATTAATCAAGATTTGGATTGCAGAAGGTTTGCTGAAATGCTGCGGAAGAGATAAAAGTGAAGAAGAGCTGGGAGATGAATTCTTCAATCATCTAGTGTCAATTTCATTTTTCCAACAATCAGGAGACATATATGAAATGGGTTACTTTGTCATGCATGATCTTGAAGGTGATAGGGTGCAAGATATCCCTGAAAAGACACTTCACATTTGGTGGTTCTCTGATGAAACAAAAGATGGTGATAAAATATTAGAGCACATTCACAAGTGTAAGGGGTTACGCAGTCTTCTAATGATGGCAAGAATATGGAAAGGAGGTGACCAAGGCTTCAAAATATGCAACAATGTACAACATGTTATGTTTTCTACACTAATATATTTGCGGGTGTTATCATTCAGAGATTGTTATATCTCGGAGCTAGCTGATGAGATAAGCAATTTGAAGCTTTTGCGCTACCTAGAACTTTCTTTCACAGACATTAGAAGGTTACCTGCCTTGATTTGTATGTTGCATAATTTGCAGACACTGAAATTGGATCGTTGTGGTTATTTGACTGAGCTCCCATCAGATTTTTACAAACTAGTCAATTTACATCATCTTCATCTGGAAGCCACACCAATAGAGAAGATGCCAAAACATATAGGAAGGCTAATCCATCTTCAGACGCTGACTAAATTTGTTGTGGGAGAGCACAGTGGATCTGATATTAAGGAGTTGGCGAAACTGAACCATCTTCAAGGAAAACTTGAGATTTCTGGGTTGGGAAATGTCACTGATGCTGCAGATGCAGCGGAAGCCAATTTGAAAGATAAGAAACATTTAGAAGAATTATTGTTGACTTTCCATGACAAAAGCCGATCAACAAGTGGAGAAAACGATGAGTCAATAATTGAAAGGTGTGTCTTGGTCTTGGAGGCGCTTCAACCTGATAGCAACCTGAATACCCTCACTATCTATAATTACCGTGACACCAGTTTTCCAGATTGGCTTGGGGATCGTCATTTGTCCAATTTAGTATCCATGAAACTTGTTGGATGTCGATTCTGTTCATGTTTGCCACCACTTGGGCAGCTCCCCTCTCTCAAGAAGCTTTTTATTTCAGAATTTGATGAAATAGAGATCATTGGTAGGGAGTTTTACGGTGATAATTCATCAAATGTTCCATTCAGGTCTCTTACAATCTTGCAATTTGAGAATATGTACAGATGGAAGGAATGGTTCTGTTTGGAAGATGGTGAAGGTTTCCCATTTCTTAAAGAGCTTTCCATGACAAATTGTCCCAAGTTGAAAAAAGCCCTGCCTCTACACCTTCCTTCTTTGCAAAAATTAGATATTTCTTATTGCCAAGAGTTGGAGGCTTCACTTCCCAAGGCTCCTAATATTGGGAAGCTAGAGCTATGGACATGTGGAACTCGGGTCGTTGAGTCCTCCTTGGAGCAAATTCTATTAAACAATACCTTTTTTGAAGTGTTGGAGTTTAGAGAAACTCTAGAAAGCTCCGCTTTGTATTTGAGCTACATTCCTCTTCCCACTCTACGCTTTACAAGGGCGTACTTTTCCTCCTCGTGGCCTTTCTCACTGGACATGTTCACCAATCTTCATTCTCTGAAATTGGATAATTGTCCACAACTGGAATCGTTTCCTAAGGGAGGTTTGCCTTCCAGCCTGAGCAGCCTCGATATACGGAGTTGCCCCAAACTGATTGCTTCGAGAGAGGAGTTGGGTTTGTCCAAACTTCATTCTCTGAAAGAACTCATTGTTAGTGATGACTTTGAAAACGTGGAGTCCTTCCCGGAGGAGAATCTGCTGCCACCCAATATTAACCTGCTCCGATTGGTCAATTGTTCAAAGCTAAGAATAATTAACTACAGAGGATTTTTCCATCTCAAATCTCTCAAATTCTTATCTATTGGGAAATGCCCTTGTGTTGAGTACTTGCCAGAGGAGGGTCTACCCAACTCCCTTTCTACATTGTGGATTCTTCGTTGTCCAATACTTAAGGAGCGCTATGGGAAGGAGGAAGGAGAGCATTGGCATAAAATTCGTCACATCCCTCGTGTGGAATTTCGCTACTGCTGAAAGAGATGTTAGGACATGCAGGTGTGCCACATTTTTGCATCTGTTTATATTCAGTGCTTTACCTGTCAAACAAACCTTTGTAATTTATTTATTTTTTTAAGAAAAAGGGATAAGATTCTATATTTCATTTTGGAACAGTGCCCAGGTAGTTTGTTTGTGACTTATCCTAAGAATTTCATGACCCCTAGCTTTTTGTGATACTGCTCTGACTCTCTGTTGCTTTCTTTTTTTTATTGGAGTATGTGTATAGTTATTATATTTAATTTGCTAAAAACAGTTTTAGAAAGCCACTATGTCGAAGGCCATTAACAAATCCCTTTTGGATAATAATAATAAAATCCTCGTTATATTGTTTTTAATATTCAAATAACTAACACAAGGAATATTCAACTAATAGGTGTTCATTGATTTTTTTGGTTTCTTTCTCTTGGCATCCTCTTGAACAACTTTTTCTTCATTTTATAGAAATTGTACACCATGCCCTAATAAATCAATGTGTCTACACTTTTTGTATGTATGCATTGGTCTAAAAACATATACTATGTGTGTTGTGTTGTTGTAAAGACCACCAAATGCATTGCTACACAAAGCAACAGAGCAAGCAAGTGCAGTTAACTTAGAGCTATGGGAACCTTTCCCTCATATTATATATTATGTGCAATTCATTTGACTGCATCTAACTATGTGCTCTTCATACAGTGGTGATCTTGAACCTCAAGGTTGCTTGAGGTTCTGCATATTGAAAGACTAGAAGTGGAATCCAAACACAATGCTTGATATTGCGAACTTTGAGGCCCATGTCGTGGTTTTTGTGCCTTCGGAGACTGAGCATTCTGAGTTGTGGAAGCTGTCCATTTCCCTTTATCCAATCTCCACTCTGTTATATATTAACCTTTCCATTTGACACTCACTCACTCTGCAATTGTTGATGTTTGCAAGCAACAACCTAAACGGTCACTCTGCTAAACTCTCTCTTTCTATTGATACAGGTGACTATGAATGGAGTTCTCTATATCTGTGCCCATTGATGGTTGCAATTTTCTTGTACAAATTTTGAATCTCTTACCCATTGTCATTTGTCATCATATTGAAATTTTTTAAAAGGAATAAAAAGTGTTTTTCTTTTTTCTTTACAATGGTAGTATAGTGATTCAATTACCAGTAATTAATCATGTTTTTGTGAGTACAGTAATAGAAAGATTGGATTTTTTTATTTTTTATTTTTTCCTTTGTGGGTTTGCCTCTGAGTTAGTTAGTACGGATCCCTTACCTATTTTGCTTTTCATGTGTTTGAATTTTTTCTGTGGTGATCTTGTCAGTGATCGTTTGCTATGCTGGCTTTTTTTTTTTTTTTTTTTCTGGGTCTGATTGGATATAGACTGTAAAAGGTTTTTATTTTATTTTTTTATTTTGTTTTGTGATGGTTGTTTTTTAAATCAGAGTGGTGATGCTATTACTATTTACTAAACCATGAGTGAATCATGTAATGGCTAGCTCAATTGTATGAGTCTTTCATTGTGGTTGTTCACTAGGTTGATTTGATTTTGTGATCTCTTTGTTATTCCATTTTGTTGCATAAATTTCTAATGCTGTAGATCTTCCCTGCAAGGGTTCTGTTTTTAACAATCTAACTTATCTGACAACCGATGAAGAGCTTTTTTCTTTATTACTTTTTTTGCGGGGTTGGGATTTAGGATGTAGGATATTGGTAAATATCACTTTTCTATGTCTCACTATTCTGGTGATTGGGCTTGATTGTTGGGACAACCTTGAATCCCTAACTTTATCTGTAATTTACTTTATTATTTGAACAATTGCTCAAGTTTTGTTTGTGCAGTTACACATTGTGTAGGAAATTAGGATTGGAATCTTTCCGTTTTTATTTCCTATTAATTAGTGATTTGAATTTTTATGGAGGTGCCGAATTGGTTTTGAACCATGTAAAGAATCAATTCAACTCAAAAGCTTAAGCTCTTGGGTAATAGCCTTTTTAATGTTTGATATTATTCTCTAATACATTGCATCAATTAAATCTATACCATGCTCTTTCTTTTTTAGTTGGTTCTCTCTGAGAGGACAGTGTCATTGATTTGAGGTGATCAATAATAAATTATATTTTTGTAGTACATGGCTACATTCTCATTTTAACTATTTTTTTAGGTACTGATTAAGATCGTCCTGATGTTAGTCTAATTGGCTGACAAGTTCTAATGGCTTTGGTATTTGGTATTCGGAAGAAGTTCTACTCTGAACCCAAATGCACCTCTCTTCATACCTGCTGCCCTTCGCCGGGTGGAGGATTTTTCACCTCAGTGGTGGGAGCTTGTGAAATCTTTGACATGGTTTCGCCACTATTGGTTGAGCCAGCATAAGGAGGAAGATTCTGGAGAAAGTTGTAATGACTCTACAAATGATGATAAGGAGAATATGCTGTCAGAAACTTTTGATCTGGGATTTGAAGACTTCAGTTTTCTAGAAAATGAGTTTGAGCAGTTGATGTTCTCTGAAGCTCAAGATTATCCTATTTTGGATGATTCCAATGATGGAATAAAGCCTGTTCATGGTAAGCATCGAAGCTAATTGATTGGATGATTCATGATTGGTACTGTTTATATTAATCTTTATGAATATTTCAAATTTTCTAATCTATTTACTTGACGTCATTTTTGTTTCAGTGGTACTTGAAAATGGAAGTTTGTCTCAATGATAATATGTTTCATGCTAGCTATAACGGATGTGTTAGTAAGAAAAGTAGGATATCTAAACTGAATGTGAAGATATTTGAAAGATTCTGTACTGAAATTTATATTGTATATATTTTTCTGTAGCAAATGAACCTTAACTTATAGGTATAGCCTAATTCATTCATAATATTTATTTTTGAGATAGTGGTAGCATTCAAGTTATATATGATTGAGGATATTTTCTTTTCTCTGGCACTAGCATATTTCAGCTGATAGTTATCAAAGATAGAGTAAATAAATGTAATGTCTCATAGTTGATTGTTTTTTCTTAATCAGGTCTTAACCTTTTTATGAACTGGGTACCAAAATTACCGAAAGAAAGGGGTCCTAAATCCCCTTTTTGGCCTGCAAAGCACTTTGAGAAGCCAGCACAGCATGTGAACATCAGGTGTGTACATCGACGAATTCACCAACCTCGTTAAGAAAAACTTTGAAGCTTATAGAGTATTGAGATCTCTGTTGAAGTAACTTTTGTATATAGAAGATGCAGTGTCTTTGTACTTTCTTGTTCATTGTCGTGTCTTGAACTTTAGGTAGGCGAGGCTTTAATTTTGACCTGCCAAAATCCTGGTTGATCAGCTTTGTTTCTCCTCATTTTGTAATAAATCTTACATGGCATAAGAGAATGCGTGGATATAAGTTGTACGTGTATCCTGTTCAATGTGGCAATTAGTGCGAACTTTTCAAGGCTTGTGATTTACATCTGGAATGAAAATGGTAGGCTTATATAAATACCTATCCATTATATGGCCATGCCAAATTTAGTTAACAATTTTCCTACTTTAAAAATGGAACCATGTCATAGTGTCATGATGTATAACTCATTCTAAACAATTTAAGGCAGACGTGTGCTTGGACATACTTCATGTGCTGACTTCAACTTGAAAGTTATGTAAAAATGTAATAATGGAGTAAGATCTTTGATGGTTGAGAAATCATGTATGGTTCTAAACTGGCAGCAGTTAAAACGTGCTGATGATGGGTATCTCCTTGCAAGGTAAGTTAAAAATGATTTCGTGTTGAATTTTCATTTACTAGTTTCAGTGGAGTTTTGAGGAAGCTTGGTGGTCTTGACAGTTTATGTAGAAGGAAAGCTTGGAGTGAGAGCTTTTTTTCTCCAGTATGCTGTGTTATTGTGTTTCTGCCATGAATACCTTTCCACACTATGGTATTTAGTGCTTGGAGTTTTCTTTTGTATCACGAGGACTAATATGTGATATTGGGTGCGTGTAAAAGCTATCCTTTAACACAGGTAGAATAAAAATAAATAAGTTTCACAATCTCATCCCCTCAAAGTGAGCTTATCAACCTTCTTGCCGCGGACCTGCTTGATCCTGGTCAAGTCCCAGCCGTTCCTAGTTGCTGCTGATGGCCTCTTTGGCTTTCAGTGCTGCTTTTTCCTTTATCTGTTTTCGTTAGTTTGCTGTTAGTTTCTGTTTACTGTTGTCCGTGGAGCTATGCCCCATATACTTATAAAAAAATAAAAAAATAAAAAATTAAATTAATTATAAAAATAATTTAAAAACTATAAAGGATTCACATTGGATCCGTGATTCCAACTACAAAAAGAAATTAGCCAGACATATCTGACTTTAACAATTCAAAATAAAAAGAATTCATAGCAAAGAAAGAAAAGAAAAAGATGAAGAAGAAGAATCAATGGTCTTCAATCTTCAAATTCTCTGGAATCCTGATCTCCAGCGTTAGCTTATAAGAATTCTCTCAATTCTCTGATTCTCACAATTTTCTCCAGCCAAAGGATGCATTTCTAAGGATTCTCTGTCTCGCTTTTATAGACTTTTTCCTCTGATTCAAATCATCATCATATCTCTTGGTTCCAATTTTTTCCTGATACAGTCTGAAACAAGATTTAAAATTGTCATTGTTGAGATATATAGTCCCACATTGGTTGTATGTGCAACTAATGTGGAGTTTATAAGGTCTTAGGCACTCCCACCCTTTGAGCTAGTTTTTGGGGTGGTGTATCCCAAGATTCTTTACATGGTATCAGAGCCTCGCCGCCCCTCTTGTGGCGTTTCTTAGCACAGGTAAGCTGGGCCTGTTGCATTGTCCACTCTTCAAGCCCAATGGGCTCTTGTGTGAGGGGCGTGTTGAGATATATAGTCCCACATTGGTTGTATGTGCAACTAATGTGGAGTTTATAAGGTCTTAGACACTCCCAACCCTTTGAGCTAGCTTTTCGGGTGGTGTATTCCAAGGTTCTTTACAACTTGAAAAAAGGTATAAACTTGAAAAAAGGTATTCTGATATTATTGAATTGTGTAAATAATCTGTACAAAGGGGTCTCTATTTATAGAGAATGAAAACCCTAATATTTGACCTAATGGGCTTGGCCCAATACAACAAATAATAATAATAATAAAATAACCAATATTTACAACATTCCCCCTCAAGCTGAGGAATAGATATTTATCATTCCCAGCTTGGTAGTAAGTTCTTGAAATCTGTCTGGAGGAAGTCCCTTTGTTAATAGATCAGCCAATTGACGCCCAGTGGGAATGTATGGAGTGGTAATCAACCCGCTATCAAGTTTCTCTTTGATGAAATGGCGGTCGACCTCAATATGTTTAGTCTGATCATGTTGAACCGGATTATGAGCTATACAAATAGCGGACTTATTGTCACATAGCAGCTTCATAGGTCCCTCACATTTTATTTTGAGATCATCAAGTACAATTTTCAACCATAGTAACTCACAAATGCCTTGAGCCATAGCTCGAAATTCAGCTTCTGCACTTGATCTGGCAACCACATCTTGTTTCTTACTTCTTCATGTCACTAAGTTACCACAGAGAAACATGCAATAACCAGTGGTAGATCGACGGTCAGTCACAGATCCAGCATAATCAGCATCAGTGTAGACTTCTAAAGAGAGATTGTCATTACGTCGGAATAACAATCCTTTACCAGGAGTAGCTTTAAGATACTGAAGAATTCTCTCTACTACCTGCATGTGTTTCTCCTTTGGATCGTGCATAAACTGACTGACAACACTAACAGCATAAGCTAGGTCTGGTCTAGTATGTGCCAGATATATCAATTTCCCAACTAGCTGTTGATATTGTCCTTTATCAACTGGAGGACTTTCTTCTTCATAGCCTATCTTGTGATTCTGCTCAATATGAGTATTAGAGGGTTTACACCCGAGCTTTCCTGCTTCTTTGAGAAGATCAAGAACATATTTCCTCTGGCTGATAAAAATTCCTTTGCTCGAATGAGCTACTTCTATCCCTAAGAAATATCTCAGTTTCCCAAGGTCTTTGACTTCAAACTCAGAGGCAAGCCGTGTTTGCAGAATCTATCTCTCCACAAAATCATCACCTGTGATAATAATATCATCAACATATACAAGGAGCACAGTAAACTTCCCATTTTGGGAGTGCTTGAAAAAAAGAGTATGATCTCCTTGACTCTGTCTGTATCCTAAGGTCATCATAACCTTAGTAAACTTTTCAAACCAGGCACGAGGTGACTGCTTTAATCCATACAAGGCCTTTTTTAATCTACAAACTTTATTTTCTCCCTTCACATAATCAAAACCAGGCGAGATTTCCATGTAAACTTCTTCTTCTAACTCACCATTGAGGAAAGCATTCTTCACGTCAAATTGATTTATATCCCAATTGTGATGGGCAGCAAGGGATAACAAGACTCTCACCGTATTCATCTTTGCAACTGGAGCAAATGTTTCTTCATAATCAATGCTATAGGTTTGAGAGTAACCTTTGGCAACTAATCGAGCCTTGTATCTCTCAAGAGTTCCATCAGAATTATATTTCAGGGCATAAACTCATATGCACCCTACTGCTCTGATACTAGGTAGGCTGATAAGAAGTAAAGGAGTCAGCACAACAAGCCATATGATCAGTAGCACCAGAATCAACAACCCAAGAATGTTTAAAATCATTACATGAAGAAAGGAAAGACTGAGTTTTGGAGCTCATACCAGTCATAGCCAAAGCATTAGTATCAGATGGCTTACTCAGATAATCAAGGATGGTTCGGAGTCGTTCCAACTCATTTGGACAAAATGCAAGTTGGGTCTCATTAGGTGCAGGGATTATTTCAGAGGAAGTAAAATGTGCTTGACCACGCATCCTTGCTATCTTTTCTAAGACAGTTTGCTTTCCATGGAGGCGAAAGCATAAATCCTTGATATGACCTGTTCTTTTACAATAAGAACACCATCGATCATCTCTCTTAGGTCTAGAAGATGTACCATCATAAAAATTTGTAAAGGAACTCCTTTGAGAAGAGGCCATACTGCACAAAAAATGGTCAAAGAAAAGCTCCAAGAAGCCAAAAAATACGAAAAAAATACCAAACGATGTCTGATCTGAGAAAACAACACAGATCCAGAAAGAAGACAAGGAGACAAGAAGAACTGCACTGGTCCGCCGCCGAGAACCACCCCCACGCGCCTCCACGCGCCGGTGGAGTGGTCTGCGAGTGGGCTTCACGCGCCGATGAAGGAGAGGCGCGTGTGGGAGCGTGCGGTGGTCTTCCGGGCTTAGATTTCTAGGGCAACGGCGCCCGGCGAGCTCGGTTCTATCTGGGGCTGGTCGGAGTTGAAAAACCGCCGAGAAAAGGTCCAAACACGATGAAACAGATTCTGTCTTGTTTGAAAAAAAACGCGATGAACAGTAACATCGATCTGATTTTTTTAACGTGACTGAAGGTGTTTGATGAGAAAAAGTAGAGGTCTTCTCGGTCCAAGAGGTCCCCAGAAAAAAAAATTCCAGTGGCAGTTGATGGCAGCGAGAGACGAAAAGAATAAAAGGTTTTGTTCTAAAGACAATAGGTGCGGAAGCAGAGCCTTCAGGATCGAGAGCTCTGATACCAACTTGAAAAAAGGTATAAACTTGAAAAAAGGTATTCTGATATTATTGAATTGTGTAAATAATCTGTACAAAGAGGTCTTTATTTATAGAGAATGAAAACCCTAATATTTGACCTAATGGGCTTGGCAACAAATAATAATAATAAAACAACCAATATTTACAACAGTCACGTGCCTCCTGCGTTACTAGCGCCAGATTGGCGCTAATAGCGTGGGAAATATGTTTGGAGGTAGTGGCTTAGCGCTACTAGTGCGAATGGACTGTGTTGAACGAAGATGTTGGCGCTGACAGCGCCAAGGTCGCGCCAGTAACGCGATGAATTCAGTCTTGTGTTTTTCTGTCTTGCTCAACTGAGCCCCTTTCTCGTCCTTTTTCCTACAAAAATATAAGAAAATCAGTGACAATATACCTGATTAGGATTTATCATTTTAATGGTAATTGTGGGCCTTTTCATTCAAGATTATTGCTCTTTTTGGCTTAAAATCATATATATGTTGGAGACCGTATAAGTTTATCTGACACGTTATAAATAGTTAGATATATTTACAATAACTGTTTTTTTTTTAAAAAGACTTTAGATCAAATCTTTAATTTTTATATCTCGAATGATTAATTCTGTTTCACCATATGGAATTTGATGCTCACGACCAAGGTAGTCAAAATCGATATTTTACCTAAAATCGGAAAGGGAATAAAAAATCGTAAATCGTAAAATTGTAATACAAATCGTAGATTTTACCTGCACTCTAAAATTAAATTTTTATATACATATGCTTATGTATTAAAAAAATTAAGAAAAATAGACTACCTGCCATTAGGGGTGGCAATATAGGTATTGACCCGCGGGTTGACCCG